TATCCCATTTATTCTGATTTCATACCGTTTATGCCAAACTCAAGTTTCGATGCCATACATCAGTATTGGAACCAAAACTGTAATGTACTGTCGGCCGAGTCGAGAAATATAGTAAACCTGTCCATAATTACAAGACAAATACCAGATCACATCACCACAAAGTATCAAGTCTCTCATCGCCTTTGCCATCCCCTGTGTAAGCTATTTAAGTTTCAATCGCTAAATCCAATCAGACATCACATATTAACAGGTGTGCAAATACTTTGACAAAAAAATAATATAATAAACGACTATTATTTACCATTAATGAAGTTGCCAAACCTAACTATGGAATTATATGTGGTTAATGCGTTTCAAAGTTGATTGGGAAATAAGGTAGTCAGCAGAGATGTGACTTATCTTAGATACAAGTATTTGAAATACAGATACAAGATACAAAATACGTATTTTCATCTTATATCTAAAATACTTTTTTTAGGAAGTATTTTGTATCTTGTATTTAAATACTTTTGTTTAGTATCTTAGTATCTTTTAAATACTTTTTCTGATAAAATACTTTATAAAAAGATTATTTCTTACATTTTATATATATCACAAAACATTCTTTGCCTAAAACATACATATTTACAAAAAGAAAGTGTTCAATTATCAACACAATGAATATTTAATTAAAAATAACTCGAATCCAAACATTGTTTGGTGTCATTTAAAAAGTAAATGCGTAGAACTGAACGTACGGTTATACCGGTGTAATACACCCTCCCTAGTAAAAATTGATAGATGGCGCATAGGGCTTGAAATTGAATAACCAGTTACAAGCAATAAAAAATCTTGATTTATGTAAAAACCCGGTTATGTGCTATAAATAAAACTCAGTATATCAATTAAACTCATTATTAAATTTTATTATTTTTTTGCATATTATACTTTTTCCACTAACAACAGCATTCAAAAAGTTTATTTTGAAAGAAATTTCACTGTGAAATTCGATACATGGCAAATGCTTGAAATTATATCCCATGAGCAAAGCAATATTGATTTTATTGACTCAACAGTTAATCTTTTTCTATCTTTTGACCACTGCATATTCATGAGCGAAAAAAAAATCAATATTCGCATTATGAGGCATAATAAAAAAAATACTGACAAATCTTCAGTAGTTCGGAAACGAGTGCTGTCATTGCATATATTGAAAATAATTACCCACTGCTTTTCAACTAATTCGTCATAAAAATAAATTTGTTAATAGAAAAAATTCTTCAAATAATTTCTTTTACATCGTCAATTAATACTCCTTTATTTTTCAAAAATACAACACAATCTGTGATGTAATCGTATAGTAGATTTTGCTTTAATAAGTAACCATTTAATTCAATGGATCTTTATTGAGAAACAACAAAAAAATGGGCGGAGTCCTGTCTTAATATTAGGTCTTTACCTATGTAATTGCCGTTCTGCTGTACTAGCCATTTAAAATCAAACTATATTTTTACCCACTCTCTTCATCTCACTAGGAAAAAATGAATTTTCAGTTCTCCGTAATTTTACGTCGTACGTAAAACCAGCTTTTTAAATAAATAATAATTTTATAATTAAATTTAAAGAATTATTCTTGTTGTTATATTTCAGCAATTTTTCATTCACAATGCTATATTGAAAAAAAATATTATTAAAAGGAACTAAAAAATTTAAAATAAATATTTGCATTTTTATATGTTACATTGTGATTGACAAACAAATAAAACGGAGGAAAAGAGGGTGAAATTTAGCTTGTAAGATTTGAGGTGAAACCAAATAAAAGCTTACAAAAATTGTTTCTAATGAAAAATGCTTAAAAAATCCACTTTGTCCCTGAAACCATCTGGTCTAAGATTTAGGTTTTTGTGGTCTTTAATAAACAAACTTAAATTCAAATCTTTTTTTAGAAAAGTATTTGTATTTATAAAAAGTATCTATAAGATACCTATTTTGTATCTAGTATTTCAAATACTTTTCTCGAAAGTATTTTGTATCTGGTATCTGAAATACCTTATTTAAAAGTATTTTGTATCTTGTATTCCAGATACTTTGTACAGGGTATTTTGTACATCTCTGGTAGTCAGGCCGGGTTGTAAGGTAGTAATTTTCAGTAACAGCAAAGCGTACTAGAAAAATATATTATGAGTATTTTGAATTAATACCAACAAAATTGCAGATACAGTGACAAGTAATCTATGATTCAGTATATTCAAGAGCCATCTCTCGTGCCCAACCGAAAAATAATCTTAGTCGATGTTAACAGTTAACAATAATAAACTGTTACGAGGTATAATCATGTGATAAATATTAGTTACAAGTCCCTCAAAAAACCACTAGCAGTCGACTTTGTAAAGACTCTGAAAATTTTTGCTTCACCAAGTTATATATATCACAATAATTTAGTAAATATTTTTTTCTCTTTTTACAATACAATTAAAGCATCTTATGCGCGGGGGAAATATTGCGACACGGATTCTGTGTTTTTATTTTGGATATATAGAAGGTTGATTATAGGCGGTGATTATAATATATGTTATGCATCCATATTATATGTCTTGATCTTATTCATGTCTTTGGGCTGAATTTAGATGAAGACTGAGTCCCTTTTAAATAATAAAAAAAAAAATTGACTGAAAGCTGAATAAAACTTATTAAAAGGTATAAAAAAAATATTATTAAAAATCACTTAATAGTTTTCAATTATTTTGGTAACCACTGAATCCCTTTTAATCCGATAACGATTACAATACCATCCCACGATTCTCTTTTCGCAACAAAGTCCCTCACGAATAAGAAACTTTTACTGTACATTGTTGTTTTCTAATGAAACTATATTTATAATTCACGTAGATATTTAAAGGCAGATACAATATGATTCGGTATTAGAGATAGAAGGCAGACATTATTCTTTATAAATTTTAAATAAGTGTAATTTTTATTTTATTAAAATTATTCTGTGCTCTGAATTGTAATTGACAATATCTAAAAAGTGCATGATTCAAAATTTGCCTGTCAGCAAGTTTAATCTACAGATTTTTACTTGCACGCTCTAGGTGCCATTTATAATCATGGACGAAGCAATCACTTACAAAATAATTACTTATTTTGTAATGTATAATATTCATTATTACAAATTCAACCAAAAATATTAGAGATGTACAATATTTACGCACGTAATAACAAACATTGTAATTAAAGCATTTAGAAGTATCTAATATATAGAATAATTAATACAAATAAATCTTAACTTAAAAATAAATAGAGATACAAAAAACACTTGATCTAATTTAAAAATATATGTAATAATTTTTTGTACCATAGAGTTGAATGCAACACTCTGAATCCTGTCTGAATCAACATATTCATTAATTAATTAAAATAAGTCAAATTAATAAAAAAGCATTATTAAAATATTGAATTAATCTTCTTTAAGAAAATATAATTATGCAAAAATCTACTGTATTAATAAAGCTAAAGGTTGCTCGAGATGCATTCACAGCTTACAAACCAGCGTTGATTTTAAATATTAATAAAAAAATATATTAAACTTAATAATATAATATTTAAAAAAAATATTTAGTGATTGTTTCCAAAGACAAGGTTTAGCTTTACACATTTGATGGGTATTTTACTATTATTAGTAGAAATAATTAAAAGAGAATTGCAAATAAAAAGCTTCTAAACAGCGTTCTCAGGCCTAAAAAGTAAAAAATAACAATATAAATAGATTTTGGTTTCATTCTAAATGGTGGCTTAGTTTTTTGTTGATTAACCAATTTCAGTCTTTTCTGCTCAGCAGTTAGTACATCTTTTTTTAATACGAAATTTGCAAAGACAATAATACAAAGTACATTAAAGTAAAACTTAATCCAACTTAGGCCTGCTGCTTCAACTTACATATATATTAACACTTAAAAGAAATGAAATCATTACTATAATTCTTTTATATAGATACTTTACTCTCTATTGTATTATTAATAATGCTTTTGTTATATGATAAATACAACAACTAATACAGGGAAATATAATTTATCAGCCTTTTTAAGTCAGCGAATAGAATTTGCAGATAAAGTGATATTAGAGAGCGCTTTACTAGATAGGTTAAGTCCTTATTTTAGTTGTAATAAGAATCATAATACTTTTATTATGTGCTATAGCGCTATCTGCTAACGAAGTAAAGGAGCGTTCCGTTTCCGTGCTGCCATATATTATAACGATGCGATGTGATGGATGTAGGTGTAATCAACGTTTCAGAGACACATGAGTAAAAAAAAATCGAGTCTTCCATATTAATTGGCGTATATTTGCTAGCATTTCGATTCCACGTGTATTTATAGCATTTAACTAGTAGATAGTTATCGATTTATTTGGTTTCCCCTATTTCTTAATACATAATCATAATAAGACACTGAAAGATGAGTAACGTATCTATATAAAACTCTTATATTTTACAGTTATATGATCCTCAACAGTCAGCGTACTTCAAAAGTATAAAGTGCTATTTATAGCGTTGAGTGTTCATGTTAAAAAGCGTTAACAACATTTAATAACAAAAAAAACATTATAACAATAAAATATTTGATTTTAACAAACTTCATACAAATTTTGTTTTAAACGTCTAATGATCACGTAGAGACCATTCCAAAAATTATTTTAACATAATATGTAATGTAAACCGACTGTGTACTGAACATGTACATTATTTTGGAATGGCCAATAAGTGCCATAGCCATCGGTAGAACGAAGAGTATATTGTATATCATTAAAATAATGGTCGACGTCCCTGTGACCGAGTTTACACGTGTCTACTGATACATTCTAAATAGTTACAAGACTTACATAGACATCCATTAAGTACATTAGACACAAACTTACTGGACCGTGAATACGTGTGGGTGGGTTCCACGATCAGGTCGCGGACGGGCGCGATCTGGTTGCGATCGAAGGCATTCCATTTGCGATCGAACGGCGATAGTGTCAGCTCAGGAGCGCACCGGCCTCGGCTGGCTGGTGTCGTACGCGCGGATCACGTCCGCTTGTGACACGCTGCCGCCCTCTTCTTGTGAGAATGCGAAACCATCTACACAGAAAAGAACTTTTAGTGCACGCAATAGAGACGAATTATGGTTGTGTGAGTAGTTTTTTTTTTAATAACTGTCTTTAGCGTGTAGACGATATGTGCTCAATTGTTCTGTGTTTGATAAAGAAAATATATTCCGCATGCGGGATTGAAGGCAATTTAGAAACAAGTGGGTTTTTACTCATAGTCATAACAAAAGATGACGATCTAGTAATAATTTTATATTTATAACTTACGAAATCCATCTGATAGCACATATCTTATTTATAATATATAGTGAATGTTTCATTAATAGCATTGTGAATGCAAAATTCTCGGATAGTTCAATGGTTAGAACGGTAACCCGGATTGCCATAGGTTATGAGTTCTGGTCCCATCTCCGGGTACTGGTTTTATAAGCATTTTTCAGTAATCAAACTATATTTCAATATTTTGTGTGAAGTGAGCTCTACCCACCTCAAATTACTTAGTTGGATTACTACCAAAAAATAGAAACGTCGAAAAAATGGGACAAATTTTTACTTAATTGTATCATATTACATTAATGATCTTCTAAGGGACTATTGCAGTTATGACTGACAATGACAACTAAAACATAGACGCCTTTACAGAAATTTTGAATACTACATATATGTCTGTTAATTTCAGCAGGACCTTTATTTAAATCAAATAAAATTCGTTTTGAATGTTATTGTTTTCAGTCTCACATGCGGTGTGCAAATCTGACTTCGGTTGCATATTTGATACCTGTTTAGTCCTGTTCCTGTGTAGTAGTGGTACGCTCGACAAAACAAATGTGTGTGCTAATTGAATAAGGGTTGCCAACTTTTAAAGATCGAGTGCAAGTGTTACTAGTAAAAAAATAATCCACTTATTTTTTTGTGTTCGATTAACAAAAAAGCTGTTGTGCAGGTATCAACGGCAGTGTACATTTGAATAGTAGACACGTGAATCTAAATCTTTAATCACAGACGAGACCGTGTGAGTTAGCATGTAAACAATATTTCTTTTTTTTTATCGAAGGTGTTTTATTGTTATCCGTGAAACATTGTGTAGGTCGGCAACCCATTGTGCTATGTACTCACGTGACAGCTCGAGGTCGAGTTGCGCGCGGGCTCCGGACCGTCGTGAGAACACGCTGCGCACGTTCTGCAGCAGCCGCGCCGTCTCCGTGAGGCTGCCACACACCGAGCTCACTACTACCGCGCCACTGACCCACGTTATCACACTCGACCACCGGAGTGGTAGTGGCCAGCTTACATATGCCCCCTTATCCCTATATTTCAAGAGCTCCCAGAACCAGAATAGACCTAGGCTCGCGATTACGACACTCGTCATGAAATTATAAAGTGTAGCTTCAACATCCTTTTTTGAATCTTGCATAGAAATTAATGAAACTGTGTACACAGTGACTAAAGCATACTGCTATGATGTTTGAAAATAAGTGAAGGAGTATGTAGTAGTCTTATACGTTCAATTCTGAAAATATACGTCATCAGTTAAATTCGAATTCTAGGAGCTCATACAATCCTTTATTTCGCTTCCCTAGCTTCGCCACTGCCACTTCGGATCGTATCGTCGCAGTCCGGTCTTGTGGCCCCGCCTATTCGAGCGGTGTTAGTGCAAGCGTGTATGCATCGTGCAGCGTGCGTAATACAGCGTGCATCGTTCATCATACATGCGGTACTTACACTGTGCGAGCCGCAGCAGCGCGTGTCGCGCATCCGGCGGCGCGCTGCGCAACAACCAATGTTAGTACATCGCCAACACCACCCACCAGCTACCAACACCACCCTGCCCACTTGCCTCCACTCTCAATTAATCCGTCACCGAATTGTCATCTTCATTTTAATATTTAATGCGTGTGCGGAATCAGAGCGGCGCTATACTGATGTCTCATTTTGACTATTCGAATCAAGATTATTACGGCAAACCAATCGTTATTGAAACGTACATACCTTGATTAAGAATAAAAATTTAGATAAGTGCTTAAGATAAAACCGGTCACGTGACCTATCATATTTCTTAAAAATTAAAGTAATTTGGTTTGGCTGTATCCAACGAATCTAGGGTCTTAGACGAAATGTATTAGGTATTTATCAGATCACAAGTTAACGGTACCAAGTTTTGGTTAAAAAAAAAGGCGCAAAAAATATATTATAGCTCTGCTCTAACTCCCTACATCATTCTTTGAACAATTCAATCATTCCTCGTTTGATTGAAAATTTTCGTAATCAAAGTCTAGCATTATTTTGGCATCGCAGTACAAAAAAACATAATTATTTCTTAACGTATTTTATTGAACATTCTTTTAGGAAAAATAATTTATTTTAAATGACAAATTATAGCAATAAGGCTCGCTTATTATTTACATCTATCTACATAGGATATCCAGCATGGAATGTACAAAAATAATCTAATATTGTGTACTAATCATACATATGGCGAGATTCAGCGTACTAATGAACGATTCCAAAATATACAGATTAAATTCAGTCTCATTGGCCAAAAATAAATAATTTAAGCTTCCATTGTAGAATTTATAGCTTTGTTCTCGTCATAGTGGAACTAGTACAGAAGATAGAATGAAATAATGGCGAAACACTCTGTTAGAAATGTTATCTTACTTTATGGAGTTTCTTAAACAGTAGATTTTGGTACATTTCCTAAAGATATAAATTGTTCTCCTTATTAAATATTATTTATTTTCACAGGATGTTTCGACATCATTTATATCTGTACAATGACAAATATATGATGCCTACTATTAAAATGACAAAGTTAGCTCGATATACAAAAATAATAAAAAAAAAATGAAAAAATATCTTAAGTAGGAATTTACAACTGAAAGGACGTGTGCAAATAAGAGAGAAAGAGACAAAATACGAATGAATATTTACGAAGTGAAAACTTACTTGTATGTGTAACTATGGACACATTGCCCTCAATTCTGTCTGTGACCCCCAAAAATATCTCAATTATATATCTCTTTTTATGACATAATATATAAGTAGGAAGATAGAAATTGGAAAAGTGTAGAATAAGAAGTTTAAAAGGCATTTTCCATTTAAACTTAAACTTTGTATATTTCATATATATTGGTGAATTTTAGCAGACTTGAAAAAAAAAAAAAGAATTAGTGTAGTCTGCATTTTAAGATATTCAACTCTATAACAGTGATATAAGGTTCTAATAAACATGCTAGACTTTATTTCAGCCTGGTTAACGGCTACATATTGACATTATTATACACACAGAATTGAGTCTAATAGTAATACCCACATCTGAATTTGTATGATAACATAGATTCAACGGTGAGTTTGTTATAGACAAAAGCAAATATCAATATAAATGCTTATGATTTGTACTTACTTGAAATACTCATTGATAGTTTTCATATTTATAATACGAACTAAAACAACAGCTTTTACCTTAATATAAAGTGCCATAGAAGTATGAAAAAAGCTAAGTATGGAAGCAAAATAATTATAACTTCTGGTGGTTTTATACAATTAACTACTAGCGTTTGTACAAATATCAAAATTATTTCAATAGTTATTTCCATTAATTAGGAAGAGTACTGTATTATATTCTAAAACGAGATTCGTCATTCGTTTAGTTATAACATTAATACATTTGTGACATACACAATATTATTTGATAATAGTAGACCGGTTAAAAAATATAACAATTTGTCTATGATTTACGTATGTATAGAAAAAAATATAATCTACTGACTTAGACCATTCATTTCATTGAATAATATCTCATTTACATTAATCGATAGAGCCAACACACAGATTGCACACGATTTCTGTGGCTGACTGAGTAAACAAGTCATAATTATCTAATCGTAATTTATGAAAAAAAAAGAAATACATATTTGTCTGTAAGCCCTTTTCCCTCAGCGCCCCTTTACTAAAACTCCACCGAATGAGCCAACAAAAACCGTTCACACTTTGTATACCAATTTGAAAATTTGAATGATCCATAATAGTTTAGTTATAAAAGAGCTGGCATAAATATTAATGAATTATTAATATACTCGTAAGTGTAACAATCAGTGAAAGTTGTCATTTCTATGATAAATTGGAGGCCATGATGAGATTTATTATTATCCTTTCTTGTTATCGCTCTACGATGCAATTTTTAAATGAATAAGTTACAATAAATTTCTGCGTTAACCTTAATAGTAACAAACTGGACTTTAAATTAAATTAATTTTAAATGCTGTCAAATAGAGTTTTGAATTCTGTAAATAACCAAGACACATCTGATGTGGTTCGCTGATATACCTGCACATAAAGTTAAATTGCAAAGCTTGGCAAATAACGGTCAATAAGAATGATTCGGACTATCCACTAGAGTGAGAAGGACATCTAATGCGTTATACCTTATGGTTATTGAAACAAGACTTACTATAAATTACAGTCCCACATTCGGTATCGTAGGAATTGGTAGATCTACTCTGCACTAACGATGATTCAACATATACCATATTATTTGGAACTTACTGTAACCTTCATCCAAATTGAAGATTCCATGTTATAAATCATCATACTGGATTTATTTAGAGGTGATTAAAGATTAGAATCACAAAATCAAAGAAAACTTAAGTTTCATTCATACATATTTTTACCAGCCTTTTTATGTCAGTGGGGTAGCGGATATTCTGCTGTATACTGTCTAAATCTATAGTTTTACTTTCTTCAGGAACAGAAAAGTGCCTGATATAAGAGAAGGCTTTTCGAATATTTTTCATAATTATTCCGTTATTAAACAAAGTCATATATTTATATTTTAGTTTGGAGAATATGCACCAGAATTTCGTTATACCTAGTTATATTACAGCTTGGCTGCAAGCAATAGTTCTATCCAATTGACAGCATTCTAGCGTTTGTGATACGACCTATATCTAATTACACTCGTGAAAAAACATCAAAAATATCATTAATTTTCAATATAATAATAATAATAACAACAATTTTATAATTACACATCGCTCTCACTAAAAAAATTGGAATGACACTAGATAAATGCTCTGTAACTGAACACATATTTATAATTTGAAATAAGTCTTAACAATTATAATAAATATTAGGTACCTAAGTAGAAATCAATTCATAATCGAATATCTAATAAATAGTCAAAAACTTTGAGTTTTTTTAAAATAAATAATTACTTAGAATAATATAAAAAATATATGTCAGAATAAATACAATTATATTTTTAAAGAATCTAGAAGAAACTCTGGAAAACTAGCGAAGTGCATATAATCTGTCTAATTTCTACACTCAAACAAATATGAGGTAGTTACCATTTGATGGCAGTTGTCCCTCTTAATACATACATCACGAATCGCCATCTTGCAATCAAAAGTGAACTTTAAAACGACAACAGTAAAATTAACATATTTACATATTATCAGTAAATCTCATTAGAAGACACACGTTGTGATTCTAATTATATAGACTATTCTTACAAGTCTTAGCATAAAAAGACGAAGTATGACACATACGTATTATGGGAGTATATAGGGAAGCTACTCATTTTTGGGGCTACATTTTGTATCAGTCGATAGATAATTTTAAAAATAGGTCTACGTCTAGTGATACTAATGGAAAGTTTCGTTGGAACTGAATTTTGATTGGAACAAATAACACAAAGGAACTATTCCTTTTGTCAAAGATATAAATATTTACTGTATCTGTATTCATGTCTTTAATAGGGTTACTTCGTTTCCCATAAAACAAAATTTCTGAAATTTTACAAAACAAACTATCTGCTTATTAGTGACAGTGGTAGGATCAACTACTCAATGATGTAATTCTAAAAAAAATATGTCAATGTAACGTTTCAAAATAATAAGAAATTTCGTTTTGCGAGTAACATGGTAGGCTCACTCATTTAAATATTTTTATTATTTACTAATTTCTACTTATTAAAACGTGTTTTAATTTACAAGGTCTGTCTACAAGTTACATATCACATTTTATCAGTCGATTCCCTGGAGGTGTATATATACTGATCGGATTATAATTACAAATGCTTCGCTAATTAACACTACGGTTTCTAAGAAACCCCTCTCGTCGCGTGAACTGCATACAATAGTATCAGAGGTACTATATAGAATTATGTCATAAGGCAGCGTTTCTTAACCTCTGGTGGGGTCAAGAGTATTAGGATAGATAGCGAAACTTTTTAAAAGACACCCTGAGCAAATTACAGGTTTTTAGTTAACAATAATAAAACTAACAATCTGATTTAATTAACAATGATAAGAAAGTAATTAGTAACGATCGCTGGATTAAAATATATTTGTATTTTGAGTTTCCACTTAAAAAGATTAAGAATCACTGACCTGATATAAACGGACGGATGTCTTTTGAACTGCAACGAGTGCATTGGTATCGCATGCCAACTGCCGCAAAATGGCAGATAAAACTATCTTTTATTTAAACACGAGAACTGCTACGAAGGCTGTTTAAAATTACGTATATACCACGAACTAATAGGTTCGTTCGAAATGACATAGGTCGTCCCGATCCATGGAAACATTGCTCCGTAACTCTGATCCCGGATGGTTAATGCAGTAAAATATATGTTTATGTTGCAACGAGCGAGGTTCCAACGTTGGACAAACGTCATACAATATGCGATGTGCGAAGTCGGCGGGGGCGCGCGGGGGCGGGAGCGGGGGCCACGATGCGGCGACGCCTCACTACGCTGCACGCCCACACACACACACAGTCAACACCAGCCTACGTGCACGTATATAGCCACGCATACTCATGCCAAGGGGACTCTCTCCACCCAAATCATCGGACACAAGTTAATTTCTTATTCTAGTCAAATGAAAGAACGAACGAGCATCAACGATTCAACTCGCGAGCATAATAGGTATAGCTAGATACATTGGCGTGGAAACTTCCAAATTTGCATTTAATTTATTTTGTCTGTCGTTCAAAGCTATCTGTCTATCTAAAGCGATCTATGGGAAAAACTGAGTTAAATGACTGACTAGCCCCCCAAGGGTTCCTTGCAAATTATAGAAACAGTTTTTTAGCAAATAAGTCTAGGATTTCCGGTGTGCTTTCTTTAAAAATAAGCGTAAGTACAACTTTTACCAGGGATTCATACGACAGGTGAACTAGGAAAGACGGTTTCGTTTAAAACAATAGAACTTTCCGGACTGTTAATTTTTACTTATACTCGATGATTTATAGGTGCGAGTGTTTCTCAGCACGAGTATACGTCTTGAGCGGGACAATGCCGAGCGAACCGTACTTAAATATTGCATATAAACTATGTCGCATGAACAGTGCCAGGCTGATACACTTCTATAGTGAGATAACACTGAACCTCGACATAGCAGCAAGGTAAACAGATTACCGTTCTCACTATATAAGCATCGGCAAAACAGAAAAAGCTCGTAGTATGAATACTAAATAAAAAATATTGAAATATGATGCGAAATGACTACTTTTTATATATGTATTATACATGACTACGGTAAATTAATTTTATATAAGTTGTATTTTATATGTTATTAACGTGCATTATATATTTATAATTTACTAATGTACATTCACATCAGATTACTATAAATGTCTACAATCAACAATGTACTTAACGGTCAGCAGATTTATCGCTTAAAATAAATTTAAAAACTTCGACTTTTACAGTAACCCGAGATGTCAGTCGACTGTATGAATGCTGGTGGTTAATGTTATAATTTATATGATAATAGGTGAGTTTTAATAAATAAGGTAATAAATACAATTTCAATAAATTAAATACAACAAAGTCTCTCTAAGATATTATTATTATCAAAAACTTTGAAAATATTTCATGACTGTTTGTTTATATTTACATTACATACATAAATATACATAGCCTTGTTAATCAATCGACAAATAATTTAATTACTTTTATATGTATATATGCGATATTAGACTGCACAGATCATTCCAAAATAATGCAAACACGTGAGTAACGATCTTGCACCCACTCAACACCACAACATCAACTATTCTACTCAATATAATACTCGACGTTAGCAGGGTCAACAAGGCACTCCTCATACTCGATAAAAATTCCAACTCACGGTTTGAGTAATCTTTCAAATAAAACACTCGAGCTTAAAGTATACTTGTTGCATTTTATTTACAAAATTTTATCATGTTATCATTATCATTATGTTTTATAACAGCCAATAAACGAATACTTCAAGTATACTCCACGCGGACGAGTCGTCAACTGAATGCGGCCGATTCTATATGACAGTGAGATTCTAATTGTAAAAGTTTAAACATTAAATCTTAAATATACTTTTACGCGTTGGATAGTTTGATACTAGTATTAATCTGATAATTAGCAAGTCTTGATTCGATTAAGTGCGCTTTTTTACTACAGAACAGGATGCAGAATAAAGGTTTATTTGAAGGTTAAACGTGTTAGCGTTTGAATTAGTGGCAATAGTACTTGGTGACGTCATATAGAACGGTACGTGATTAGGCGAAGCAGCACTGAGCCAATGATGATTTCAAGCTATGATTGAATCACAAGTGCTCACTGCCTAATATTAACGTTATCTGTATATATTAGCAATGCGCGATAATTTATATAACGAAGATTTGTTTCAAAATAATTTAGATCTGAAGTTATATGTGTCCGATGCGTAATGTTCTTTATAACTTAATATTTTTGATGATTAAAAAATTGTAACACCAACAGTTTCGTTTTCGGCAGATAAATTTGATTTATTATTACGTATGAAACAAGTGTCGGGGAAAAATTATCGCACATCACTGTTACATACACCTTCCACAAATTTCAATAGTTTCGATTTTATTAAATTAATTTTTCGCCAAATATGGTTAAGTATTCAATTTGAAAATTGATAAATTGTACAACGTTCTGTCAGCTTACTGGTAAACCCAATTTTCAAATTGCATAAAATAACTCGTTTTACCAGTGTCCGATCAAAATATTTAAACGAGAGATAATCTATTATTTTAATGTAATGTCAAGAGTAGTCAACGCTATAGTCGCAAACTACGGTAACCACTGTTTGACAGTGGGAGTGTTCTCGAAATATGGACGTAACTTGACGAGTTTTGTATCTCAGTCTTTATCAGACTCAAGGCTCAACCGTCACGTTACGCCTTTAAATTACTTTTAGGCCAATTAACGTTGATTCTACGTTGTAAGATGAAAATGTCTTTCTTATTATAATATCTTTAATTTTGATCGGACATAATGCACCCCTAATTTAGACTGTATTTTTAACTTTCAATATGTAATTGATGTGTGTACTTACGAGTGCCTGGGTTGTGCGAGGAGTGCGGCCGGGTCACGTTGTTTTATCTCGCTCTCGCGTACCGCCTCCGTCATAGTCTTGAATGCAGAGTTGTGGATGCTGAAATTGAATTAGTAACGTCTAAATTTTGCTACTCATTGTGATGATATTTGTTGTTTCAACGTGAGCGAATACTACTAATTTTATATGAGATTATTTGAGAATTTTGTTAAGTCTTCATATTCATATAGATACTTCATATCTTGTAATGTTTTTGTTAAAATATTCCCTAAGGATTAATAGCTTTAAGATTTTGTGGAAATAAGGTGTTCGGAGTATAATGTATTATATTTGATCACTTTCACATTTACAATGCTATACTGAAAAATATTCTTTATACAAAATGCTTGAAAGACTGACTGACGAATCCTGTTAGGTTCTGGGTAGCTCAGCGGTTAGAGCAGTCGCCCGAATTGCGAAAGGTCGTGGGTTCGATTCCCATCTCAGGCTGCCGGGGACCAAGTGGATTTTTAAAGCATTTTGTATTAAGAATATTTTTAAGTATAATGTAATTGTGTGAAGTTTTCATATGTGTATGTTGGCTTTAATTTATGAGTGTCGAACGCGGCTGCGGTTATCAGCACCAGCCCAAGCCAGAACTCCCTGACATGACCACCATACCTTCCATGCTAAAGTGAGATCAAAGAGGAGATATATACTGAGGAAATATATACACAGTGACTAGTAAGTCTGGCAACAGCGCGGCCGCGATTATCAGCATTAGCCCGAGCCAGAACACCAGTGAGATGACCGTTATACCTTCCATGCTATAGTGAGATCAAAGTGGTGATATATACTGACACAGTGACTAGTAGATCTGGCAACAACGCGGCCGCGGGTATCAGCACTAGTCCGAGCCAGAACACCAGTGAGCTGAACACCATACGATCCATACCGCGCATCACCGCTCCTATCATCACCGTCGGATACATGTTGCTAAGACAAAAAACATTTGCGAATATTATAATCAATTGATTCACATATTACCCATTTTATTAAGTACACATTTTCCTATCAAGATATTATTTGTATTGAATTTAATATGTGTATAAAACTTCGTTTGTTATATTTGTATGAGAAATGAGCCTTGGATTTCAAGACAGACGTTATCGAGGAACCGGTTTTTTTACTGAGACCAAGGTTTTCAAAATACTCCTAATATTGATTATATTAATTATCGATTAAACACAACATACATTGTGTCGATAAAAGACGTCCATTGCCATTAGTTGATTTCTGAAAGAATTGCGAAAAACTGTTACTTTATATTAGTCAACGATCCATTCCTTTTATAAATAGTATCTTTATTTTTTATCCATTTTCACCATAGGTTGCCTGGAAGAAATTGCTGTTTAGCAATTAGGCCGCCATTTGTTTACTTAATCTCTTAGATAATAAGCTTTTTTGTAAACTATGTATCATATTGAGTGCAATAAAGTATTTTATTATTATTTAACAGTAAGTTATAGGTGTTCCACAAGGTTCAGTGATAGGACCGTCTCTGTTTACTAACCTGTATACCAGTATAAAGAGCAGCCACATGGCAACGGAGCCCCAGATGGAGATGTGAGTAACGCACGTCCATGAGTGCGTCGCCAGACCAGCCTTCAGGCACACCGTCAGAACTACGTACTGAATGAACAACAATCACACAACGTGATAAATTATAAGGATGGCTAGTATTTGTATTCACAGCAACACACCAGGCTCGAATCAAATTTCACTTTAAATACCAAATATTGAGGTTCAAAATCAACTGAATAAAAATGAGACATATATGGATTACCTGAAAACCCATTCTGTTTCTTCGAAAAGGAAATTTTATAATGCATTATGGTATACAATTTCGAAACGCAATACGACTCGATAGAACAGTATTTTTTTTTTCATTTATGAGGCACCATTGCCTCATAGCCGTCATTCCGCCGTCACCTTTTTACCATTGGCAATCTAGACGTACGGCGGGATACCACCCACACTTAGTTGATATCCCGAGATGCCACACAAAGCGGTTTTATTCCTCTATTTTACTGCGCACCGCCAAGGAGTGGAACACTGCCGGCGTCTATATTCCCGAGTACATATAACCCAGACCTATTTAGGTCAAGAGAGAATAGGTTCATTCTGAGCAAACTCGTCCCACCGTAGATCTCATCTATGCCCTTGGGCTATATTGAGGTCAAAAGTGAGCCAATCTTTAATAAAAAAAAAGCTTAGTTACCGTATATACGAGATTGCCGAGCACGAGGTACCCGCCGTCCTTGCCGTGTGGCCACAGTATATGATGGGCGGTGATCAGTACCGGCAACCAGAACAGTATCACAGAGTGAATTAGCGCATTCACCGCCCACACCCAGAATACGCGCACGTTAAACAGCAGACCCTGCTGCGATGGAATGTACAGGATCGGGTGCTACCAACAAACATAAATAGTTTCATATTTTAGGAAGAAACAGGGACAACCAGATTGTATATATGTTACAAGAAATTCTTATTATATTTATTGCGTCATATGTCTGTAGTGTATTCAAGACATAAATTGAACCTTACAATAACTGATTTTACATAATTAGGATATCGTTTTTTAAGCTGTTCGTATTTTTTTAGTTTCACATGTTTACAGAGTAATAAACAAGATAATTTCAAGTTATTTTAATTGTGGTGTTTGACAAATTTATCAAAAATAATTCATGGCCATTTATCACATAGAAAACAAGAAAAAAAAGTTATGGAATTAAGTCTGCTATTTGTATATATATATTTATGTGATAGGGGGCAGATGAACAGACGGATCACCTGATGATAAGTGATTACCGTCGCCCATAATACTTTTTTAATTTTGCAATAAAGCATAAAAAATAAGAAAATAAAGTAACCATACAAACTTTCACATGAGTGCATTATAATTATATGCAATCGGGTCTTGTTCGTGACCACGGCTGCTGTAACGTAGCCGAAACGTCGAGGTAAATTAATTGTTTTAAAAAATGCACGAACAAGACCCGATTGCATATAATTATAATGTATACAAATCGTGTGAGTTTAAAAATATTATTTCACATGAGTGGTTTTACATTCTATAATTCCAAATTTCCCATTGAAGCAATCAAGGCACATAATACCCCCCCTGTTTGATTCGTACGTAAATTATTTAACTCACCCTTAGCATGATTTCTGGAGAGCAGAGTTTGTCAAATAATCCAATAGCGAACGGTGGCAACGCAGTGAAGATCACGTTGTAGAAACCTATCGTCCATCGTTCGAACAGGATCTGACCTGACCTGGAAACACATGGATATCTCAAATGAGGTTGCCGTGTGACGAATACTGCATATTCAACCTTAGATTTAATATCATAAATTATTTTTAATTTCTATATACAATCATCGCAATTGTAACTGGATTTATTATCACAATATAAATTAACGAGATTCAGTAGCTGTAGCCGGTTACAATAAACCGTACGCCAATAAAATAGGATGAAAATTTAAGAAAACATTATTTTATAGCATACTTTGTAAAGAACAGTATTAATGCTTATGATTATAAGATAAAAATGTCACCAAATAAGTTTCTATTTTATATTAAAATGTCGTAAGAAGTAAGGTTAAACTGACCAGGCAGAGTAGATGGCGAACCAGAGCTCGATCACGTAGAGGCAGATATTTTTGTAGAACGAGTACAGTATGAGTTTGCTGATCCTTGAATAGTTCCATGCGCCGTGTACTAACAGCAGACGTTGGAGGAACCGGAACTGAACGCACAAAATGTTAAAGTAATTATTAAGATGACAACTGATAAAAACACGTCTTTTTCGAAATAAGCTTTTCTTAATACATCTTTGCTGAAAGTAAAATTATAGAATATTTATAGTGATAGTGATAACGATGAACAAAATTAGAAATACATCAAGGTATTGATTTAGATGGTACATACAGAGTTTGAACTTTACCAATGAAACAATAAGGTTTTAAAACGGAGAACTTTACAGCTAGCGGGATATGTGGAATATACGACTACCTTAGGAGTGTATAATATTGAGGGTATGTTCCGATATACACTGCGACCACTGAACAGTATGACTTCAATTTAGTATACTGGAAGCCCGTTCCTTTATAGCTAGTTATACTGGTGACTTTTTAAAACGGAATGCAGTCCAGTATACTGTTAATCCTATTTTTGGGCGCCATTTTCAAATTTGTTAATGCAAGGTGAATATAAATATAAAGATTCCCTCTTTTCAAAAGAAATTGGAAAATTGTATAAAAAAAAATATTTATCAATTAAATCCATCTTAAAAATAAACGTAAGTATTTCTTTTTTGTTTATTTAGAAACTTATCATTTTCTGATTCTGTTTCGATTGATCACGTGATCAAAAGCACTGCGAGCACCTTACCTCGAAATCTCCAGTGCTCACAGTACAAATATGGCGGCAATTTATGACGTCATAAATTTCCCTAGGGTACTGTAGCAGTGTACTGGCAGTCCATAACGGAACGGATTTTTCAGCAGTAAGACCACTGCGCAGTGCTCGCAGTGTATATCGGAACATACCCTGAATGTGGCTGTTGTGTGTTGCGTGCATGAATTTGAATGGTGGGTAAATTCACGCCCTTTCCGTTTCACCGTACCGCACATACAGACAGGCTGCAGGATTCTAGCTAGCAATGCCATCGCAAATATGTCGCTTTTTTTTTTACACAATTTCCAACTTATATTTAACTAACTGAAGATAAAGACGAGTCGCATTTAACGACAATAAAATAATGTTTTTTTTTGTTAACGATACTAATTGATCATGTATGACGTCATTTTGGAACGGTCGTCGATGGTCTTCTCAAACCGAACGATTACACCTGTCATTTGTGGCGTACGTCTTGTGGATATGAAATATGTACCGTATGTATGTATCAATTTATATGTGCGAGTACGCGCGCGTGCGTGTACGTGTATGTCTCGCTCTCTCTCTCTCACTTTGTTTGTGTGTGTACATATTATGTGTATTTTTACCTGAGCGATGCTGTAATCTGATGCGCATACAGCTTGTAATCCTTCAACGCCGGATATACCGACGCCGACGGAGGCGCGTTGTATCATCGCCACATCATTCGCACCGTCGCCTATTGCTAGTGTAACTGCACCCGTCGCACCTGATACCATTTCCACGACCTGGCAACCGTTATCCAACACTTACATTTAATTCAATTATATGCATAACAACTCTGAGGAATCAATTTTGAAGAAACATTGCACTGTTCGATTTAATCAGATAACACTCAGAATTGTATGATATGTGCAAGTCAAATTTACAAAATAATAATAATCATAAATAACTAATCAACAAGGGTTCCTTAGGTTACTTACAATAAATGTACAATCTCTATTGATTTACTTGTAGTAGTTACTTTCTTCGTACGTTGAGAATGACAATGTCACTAAGCAAAAACGACTTTTGGCAACATTTTTCTTTGTAAAATATAAACTTTAAAATGCAAAGATCCCTGTGAACGTAGCTTGCACAGAAACTGCTAGGTGGCATAGTGACGATACGTTGTTTAGAGGGGCTGATTACTATTTCTTGAACTTTAAACGCTCATTACTCATAATCGCATTTTTTGCATTGTGTCACTATCGTTCTCAACGTACGAGTTTGAGTGCAATGTTGTCTCTAGTGGCAAATTTTAAAAATTTCATATTTCAAAACGACGAATTCGGATAAACGTACCTCTGCCTTTTGAATGGGGGATACGCGACAGCATACAACGACTTTACACGATATGCAGAGATCAAGGAAGTCTTTCTTCAGATCGCAACCCATCGCATACTTGAGCGTCTTCCCGTCTATTACCAGAGCTACCTCGTTCTGTTTGCGCAAATTCTCGCCAAATTCGACTGAATGTCGGCCGATGCACTCGCGCGTGCCCTGTTCGACATCGGTAATAAACATCAAAAGACTAAATATCACTGCCCTAGCTTGGCCTAAAATCAAACTAAGTTTTTGGGTGACCGAGGGCAATAAACTACATGAGATTTGAAGTAGTTCTGTGACGTAATTTGGGGGCTTAGGACAATAGCGTACTTGGTACCTAAAAACTAAGGCAATTGAAGATCTGCGGTTAATAAACACCTTATAATATGCGGACCAAATAAGAATAGATTTGGCACACGGTCATCGTTTAGCGTTGCGCTTCAACTTAAGAATGTAAGGAGTGACAAGGTATAACGGATTACGAAACACTGACCAGTGGCGGACTAACCACATCGGAAGCCCGGGGCGGTAACAGGCCCGGATTGAAAAAACTTTATGTAAACGAGGAAGGAACTTGATATTACTTTTATATCCCCCCGCCAGTTTTAATTTTATTATATGATATTGGAGGATAGCTGCAACCATTTGGAGGTCCCCCAGGATCGGAGACCCGAGGCGGACCGCTCCCCCTCCACCCGTTAGTCTGTCCGCCACTGATGTTGACATTTGATACCGAAACCGGAGTCATAAAATAGCGACGCATTTAGGGTAGCACGCGGTAACATTGCGACGAAAATGGTCAATTTCGTATTTAGTAACAAAAGACTAACAGACCACTAAAGAAAATATATTTTATTAATTCTTGATAAAGACGTCGAATAATAAATCTATATACAACATACAAATTCATATAAAATTTTATTGAACATTATTTTCTTTGCTGCTGCAGCTAAGCCGTGAATTTGGTAGCAAATTAACCCGATTGGTTTTTTTTTTGTTCGGTTCGCACAATATATTTCAATATTATTGCTAATTTGATATCGAGGGAGACCGCTGCTAACTAATCTTTGGGGAATGAAGTCAATGAAATGCTTGGGACTAGAGGTCAATAAATGACTAATTAATTGCGATATAAACACTTAAAAATATTTCTGAAAGTAACATGTTTTTATTAATTTTAATTAATTACGAAATGGCTATAAGCATTATTGTATGTAGAGGAGACCAGTACTCACGTCGAGACTATCCTCGTTGAGTAGTATCAGTGGCATAGAGGGGTGTATGAGCCTTGCAGAGTGGGCGATGTTGATGGCGGTCTCCTGTTTGTCGCCAGTCAATACCCACACGTACATGTTGGCTTGCAGTAGCGCCGCTATCGTATCTGGCACGCCGTCCTAATTGATAAAAGGACCACATATTATTACTGATTTAACCTTTACCTAACTGAATTGAGTTGCTGCGTAATGAAAGAATAATCGCCGCGATCCGCGATCGTAGTTGTTAAGCAAGTTTCGCAAGGGTCGGTCACGGGATGGGTGACCAAAAAATTATTATCTAGAGCTCTCCGTGCTACAGAAATTACATTAAGCCGTTGGTTTTGGCTGCATTTAGTCGTTAATACCCACCAATCCGCATTGGGCCTACGCGGGTCAAGGCCTGAGCCACTGCAGTGGAGACGAACCAAGGCTGATGATGATGATAATAATAACGGAATGTATTTAAAGGCTAAATGGCAACAGACATAAGGTTCGAAGGACCATATTTATTTGCTATTATTACTTCTGTCTTTTTAATTGCTAATGTTAGATATACACATGTTTTGTTTTACCTGGAGCTTATCCTCAATGGCGGTAGCTCCCAGCAGTCTCAGGTTATTCTCTATAAGAAGCGCCGCTTCTTCGATTTTCTGTTCACGATCTTGTATCGCTATACTAGCTTTGTGGTACGTGTTACACCATTCCTGTCAATACGATTACGAATGTTAAAGACATTTCCCACTACACCGTGCCATACCATGAACGTATTAGGCAAGGAATCAAACTATACGGAGTATACGGTACCAGTTCAACCGCGTGATATGCCCATACGGGCATATCCATAAATGTGTATTATAGGTAAACCATATAATACCCGTTTGCAAAGCGATGAACGTGCTACGCTACAATTTTTTTTTAGACAAGACAAGACAAAACTTTACAAGATAAGCTTACAACATGTCATACTATAGAACTAAATTTGTGTCCGATTACAGCTGTGCGCAACAGTTAAAATACAAGTTATATTAAAACAATACCCAATTAGTACGAATTGATTTTAAGACCTCATGTGCAAAAGAAAGTGGGTATGTAAGCTTTGGAAAAAATGTCCAAGTCTTAACTAATATCATTATAAGTTCTATACATACGAAGAAGAATATCTATGTTACCATGTTTCTAGCAAAATAAATCATAATTATTATTAAATACAGAAACAAATCACAGTTCGTCAAAATCAATCTCACAGATTCGAGATGGGTCATACCTGATAGAGTGCTTCTGGGATATCTGCAACGGCAAAAACAAGTGTACGGAGTCCCTCAGCTGCGAAACGTTCTAAGTGAGCGAGTGTTGCTTCCGCGTGTGGGGCCCGCGGACCCCCTGCCAGACGTGGGTAGATCACCGAGTCGGCCCCCTTACACAATAGTTTGATCTCTCCTGTATGAAAAAGTTGTATAGTCTATCTCTCGCGATCAAATATATTGCTATACAGGACTATTTTATACAGTTCAGGCTTTAGTTATCAATAAAAAAAAATTCCAAGATATTAGGTACTCTTTAAAATACAGAGTTATTGAAAACCATCAACCTCGCAGTATTTGTTTAATTTGACAGGATTGGGCTTATTATCCCACCACCACCACCACACCAGCCCTTTTACGTCCCCACTGCAGGGGCTGAGGCCTTCCTTATGGATGGTTAAGGAGGATGGGCCATGACCCTCCACGCTGGCCCAATGCGGATTGGAGGGTATGCGCTGATGATGATTATTATACATGGTAGTAACTAACCCTGTATAATTAAACAACAATAAAATATTAAATTAACAAAAGCTTAGTAATATGTTTACTTGTAGAGCAAACTACTGATTTTTAGCTTTAACCTAGAAAATTGGATTGGCGGGGACGCAACTAAATACATACTATTCGTCAAAGTTCAAAATTAAATGATGATGATTATAAACTTTGAAATTATTTCGATATCGTTTATTTGAATTGTTTAAGCATAGCGATAAATGCTTGAAAGCTGTTGAAAAATGTCAAACGAAAGAGTTTGATGTTAACAGCAATAAATATTTCGACAGGTTTAACTAAGATTGTATCATGTTTCTTGATCATTCAAGGGTATGTTCCGATATACACTGCGACCACTGAACAGTATGACGTCAATTTAGTATACTGGAAGCCCGTTCCTTTATAGCTAGTTATACTGGTGACTTTTTAAAACGGAACGCAGTCCAGTATACTGTTAATCCTATTTTTGGCGCAATTTTCAAATTTGTTAATGCAAGGTGAATATAAATATAAAGATTCCCTCTTTTCAAAAGAAAATATTATAAAATTGGAAAATTGTATAAAAAAATTATTTATCAATTAAATACATCTTATAATAAACGCAAGTATTTTATTTTATCTGTTGCGACTGATCACGTGGTCAAAAGCACTGCGAGCACCTTACCTCGAAATCTCCAGTGCTCACAGTACAAATATGGCGGCAATTCATGACGTCATAAATTTCTCTACGGTACTGTAGCAGTGTACTGGCAGTCCATAACGGAACGGATTTTTCAGCAGTAAGACCACTGCGCAGTGCTCGCAGTGTATATCGGAACATACCCCAAATCATCATTCGTTCCAAAAGCGATAGCGATTTCCATAAATCGCTATACCTTTGAAATGGTTTGCGATAGATTTAGAAACCACTCAATCAACCCGGTTATCACAATATATGGTGTATGAGGTACTGACCGGTTGGCGTGCGCACTATAACGGACATACGTTTCCGCGCTGAGGTGAAGTCGATGACGTTGAGCACGTGATATTCGTGCGTGCTGCCGGCGGCGCGCACGCGCACAGTATGAGGCGTGCGCGTTTCGAACACGTATCCCCAGTGTGCCGCGCCCATTACTAGTGCACGTTCGTCTGCATACGCATATACTAATATATCATGACTACGTAATACCTACACAAAAGCGACTTTACACTTAAATATTGAATTATTCATTCATTAAAGCGTGATCGGTTGAAGCTTAAAGTGCATTTCCCCAGAGTAAACAATAATCCGGCCAATCCATTCGTCAAACAGTGATTGATTGAGGTATGAGGTGCATTTCGGCGGAGTAAACAGAAAACTGACCAAGTGCGAGTCAGACTTGCGTACGAAGGGTTCCATATTCCGTACCATTAACTATAAAAAGAGCAAAAAAATAATTTCTATTGTATAGGAGTATCATTTGAAAGTTTAGTTTATTCTGTTTAACAGTATATGTCGGTTTTTTGTTGGCAACAGAAATAAATCTGTAAAAAATTCAGTTGTCCAACTTTCATGAGATACTGTCTGGTGACGGACGGACGGATAGCGGAGTTTTAATAACAGGGTTCTGTTTTAACCTTTGGATATGGAACCCCAAAAATCATTACATTCTTAAGCACAGTATCCTCTTCTCTCTCTAATTACTGCTCGCGCCAGATAGGATTCATAATGATACTATCAAAATAATAGCGCCCTTAATATCATTCTGCCTATCTATAAATGATAGAGGGCCATTGCTGAGATAGGGGTTCATCTTGGTCTCGCATTTTTTCTTATTTAACTGTGTTCTTGTTTATGTGTATGGAGTCAATAAATAAATTTCTTTCTCTTTTTCACTATTTTAACACTTTATATATTTTATTGTGAAATAAAATAAATAAATAAAAGGGTAGAATAGAAGTACCGGGAGAGGCGGCGTGGTAGTTGAGGCCATCGGGTCCATGCTCCGGTATGACGGTGTGGCAGACCGCTAGCATCATCAGGAACTCGTGTATGACGGCGGCGTGATCATCTCCACGCATCAGGTGTTGATACAAAAGGGTATCTTCAAGATGTTCCTCTTTGTTCGGTTTGTTGTATATCACCTAAACGTACAGAACTTCATTACGGGACTAAGAACTTAATTGTTAGAATGATAACCTATACTAAGGCGTGCATTGGTCAAAATGCTATGATGCATTTTGTTGCTCACCAGACGGCGCGATCGTCGCGAGAGGTCATGTCAAAGTTTTTTTACTACAAGCGTTAACTTAAATCATATATAAATAAACAGATTTATTAAAAAACTAGCTTTCTAAACGAGTCATAAGGGAACTGTTTATTTGGCTATCGATTCATATTATGACATGGTATAATTACAATGACAAATTGAATAGTAAACAATGGTTACTATGGTAACGTTTTAATTCCGTATACAAATTTTCATCCCTTTATTGGTTTAGTAGTTGCAGAGCCTATAAAATAACAAACAAACACTCAAATCTTTCCTCTTTTTAATATTATATTAGTATAGATATCGAGCATGCCCAATAAACACAAATTTCTAAATTAGCTGTTTCATTTTGAACCTGCTTCATTTTGCACCTCTTTTCTTAGCTTCATATTTAAATCAGTGGCATTCAAAACTCGTAATTTCATTATGGATTTCATAAAACTCAGGTACGTACGTATAAAGTATTATATAAAGAGTTAGCTCTCATTGAATAGAAACGCTATTAAAAATCACCAAATTACGTCCCCATTATAAATTTGAAAATTGAACAGACATAAGCTATGCCGGAATTTGATACATATTTTACTCTAACAGTGATGTATTTTTATTACCTCAGCGATGGAGCACTTGTGGAACTCCATAACATTACACGTAAGTGTGCCAGTCTTGTCACTGAACACGTACTTGACCATGCCGAGTTCTTCATTCAAGTTTGATGTGCGCGCCATAGCAGGCGTATCTGTTTGTTCGTGATACATTTCACTGTCCATCGCTATGAACTTGGCCTGAAAGTTGTCCATGGGCAATATAATTTACGAGTACAAACATTTACGTATATCTCGACTCCTCCCAATTAATAAGCTTTCTTGACCAAAATGTGCTCTATTTGTACTGTAATAAGATTAATCAATATTATCAATAATTTTGGAAATTATAACTTGAAATATCAGACCAATGACTGGTTATTTAAAACGAGCTGATAGTTACGGTTTCACCAGCCAGTTAAATTTATTTTATTACAATCATTTTTGCTTTAGTCTATGTAAATATGTTTCAACATGAGTTCGTTTTGAAAATAGTTCTTAAAAAGTTACCAAAAAAATGCGGTAACTTCAAAATATTCAAATGCCATGCTACTTGTCACAGCGGATGTGACGAAAATGTACACGCATGGGGATGTCGTTGTTACAAAGTAATATCGATGCAATAACATTGATGTTATCTAATAACATTGGTATTATGTCGCAAAATAAACAACAGATTACAATTTAAATTATGTTTTAGGTTTTTATTTTATTTTTTCACCAATTTGGTAAACTATATGATTATTAAAAAAGTATATCTTAAAAATCGAGAAGTTGTTAATCAATTTTTGAGTAATAATCAATCACTTAAAATCCATATTGATACAAATTTTTACAAATGAAACTACTTTTTCATTGATTGACATTTTAAAAATAGTTTCATTAATGAATTAAAAGTAAAAAAGTTACATATGTCATTATCCAACATCCATTCTCATCAAACAAAAAAAGATACCAGAGCAAGGCTCTGTTGCAACGCGACAGACATACATTTTTTCCCATAGTTTAATATTAGTTTGGTACTTCAATAATTTGTGAAATGAAAAAATATGATCAAATAGTACTTACTTGGAAAAATCTAACTATTTCTGCAGTAACTTGTAACGATATAGGTATAAGATTATTGTACAATATTAAAAATGTCAAAAAGTTAAATCCAAAGTGTGCATTCTGCGCTTCTGTAACAAAGAAGAACATAATACATTAATCTTCAATTGATGTAGTATATTTCTACCTTGAAAAAACCGCCTATATAGGTAGGGTAATAGGTACCTGATAGTCCGATGTACCAGTCAGTGTGGTTGCGCGTCCACAGCTCGTTACAGCCGGCACTGAGCAGTGACAGTGCCAGCAGTATAAGGAATAACATCAGTATGTGTGTATTGGTCTGGCGGTCGATCGATGACCGTTTTAGAGGCGCTGCGGATAATATAGGGCAAAAATGACAACAATATTACATTAAAGAGAAATAGACATATCGGTATATTTTCCGTATTTATGAGTACACTAGTATTCAAGGTATATGACCAAACAAATGTATCATTCACAATATCAGAGCCTAACAACGGTCGTGTGAGAATAGGGAAACTTCACATTTTTTCGGCGTTTCATACGAATTGGCGTGAACAAATGTGCGACGTTTAAAATATTTTCCAATTTTTCAAGCAAGTAATTTTAATATTCGTTTTGTAACGACATGTTCAATGAGGACAGGTTTGGGTTTGCTTTAAAACGTGACACTTTTTGAGATCGATTATTTCTTTTACCGTATCTGTACGTACGTAGTACCTGAACATAAAAGATACGACGTATTCAAGAAGAACATCTGTTACCTTTGGTTGAGTTCTTCATGAGTTTAGTCTCGTGGCCAGTGTACACCACGATGCCATACACCCAGGACGTGTTTCGCAACATCGCACCACGCAACAACATCTGTTCCAAGCCCAGCGGTATCGTTCTATAGACAACGTTCAACCATAAATTAATAGCTTTTTTAGATCTGTACCATTTTCTTTAATTGCGAAATTGTAAGGTATTTAATAATCATAATAAATTTTATTACTCAAATATAGGACACATTACAAATAAAGAAACATATATCCGACAGTATAAAAGAAGACGGCCTTATTGCTCTGCAGTAATCTCTTACAGGCAACCAATGGTGATACAGATAACATAAATAAATAATAATGATGAAGGGGAGTAAGTGTAATATCGAATTAACTAGATATAGCTAAATAGAAAAATAGATATGTATATGAAAGAGTAAGTTAGAAAGTAGCGATAGTGCGAGTTTTCCTAATAGTTTCTGGTAACGAATTCCAAAGCCGAACAGAAAAGTAATAGGATAGGAAGTCAGAGGTGGAAGGAATAGACGACAAATAATTTAATTGCAGCAATAAACTAAAAGCTCTGAATTCGCGACAAACTCGCCCGTTACGGACAAGGTTTTACTTTTATAATGATAGAAGCCATTCATATACATGTATGATATCATTTAACGATATATATTATAAACGATCACAGATTACAATACTAATACGATAATTGCTCTGGATCCATTTTGCTAACCTCTATATCTGGTTCAGGTTAAATTTAAAAATGTGAAAGCATGTTGTGTATAAAACATATTACCGAAAACATTAAAAGCATTATGTCAACTATTATCTACACATATATTAAACAATCATATGAAAAAAAAAAACTCGAATAAAACTTACTTTGCGTTAGTTTCTTTTAGCATGCCGTTAAACTCGTACAGGTGTCTATTGGGTGGTTCACATTGCACCGTCGCATGGAATTGCGTTAGCTGTTGAGTGGTGTCGAGGCGAGCAGTTTCCGGATGTGCCTGACGGATCTTCAGGTTCGTCTCCCCGTCTAGGTTTGACGTCTCGATGAACGATATGCCTTGAGGCTCACTAGGAATAATTCATTACTTTAGTATGTAGGTATATAACGTAATATTATTTTCAATAAATATTATATGGAAGGTAAACGAAACTGTTCGTTCATCTTCATTGTCAAAACTGCGTTAGTGTTTCTATCAAGTAGTTATTCGGTGATCCACACTAATACAAAATTACACTAATATTACAACATAATGTACTTATGAATATTTCACCCTTACATTGAAAATAAAGTACACTAAAAATAAATATAAACCGAGTGGTTAATTAGATAATTAGCATTTCTCTAAATAACGAAAGAAAAAGAAGTTTGTATAAGGTATATTACCTAGAGGAGAGTAACACCAGATCCGCGGGAAAGAACTGGTTGTTGAGCACCTTGCATATGTCGCCCACCTGCAGCCGTTCCCACCGCACAGTCTGCCACTGTCCATCGCGAAGTACTTCCACTTTTCTTCTATTCGTCTCATCGTCAGCTCTGTGCCGCTTCTGTACAATTTTAAACATATCGTTAGAATGCCCTTGTGCTCATATCTGAAAATGGTTTTTTGTAAATTTCTTATTCTCAATATGAAAAGAAAAACGACTAAGAACGAATGGAACTCGCCCAGCCCAACGAAGATTCCGTACAAATATGAAATTTTATATTCATATGTGAAATACCGGTTTATGTACTTTTTTATTGTTTTGGGCGTGAATACCTTAGATAACTTCAAAACTATTGCATGTTTCAAATTCATTTATTATATTATATAGCCGTCTTTGTGTCACCGATTAATATTTATATATTTATAGCCAACTAACGTAACAGTAGTTTCGGGGATAAATTATATAATTATAGCAGACGGCGGGAGTGAGAGACAGACATACTAGTGAGTGACGCTTATTATAAGGGTTAAAAGCATATTACCATGAATATTTTTAGTTGTAGCTTCCAATCCACAAAACACGGATTTCTGTGTTCTATGTTCCAATCGACATGTTTTTTTCGAATCTTTAACGATCATCATGGAAGTCAGAATACGTAAAATAATAAAAACCTTCGCGTTTAATATTATACTGCAATATTAATTTACGTTTAAAAATTGCATTATATTTATAATATTTTAACGTGGTGTTTTATGAGATGTAATTTTATGACAATGGTGAATCATCCACATCATTGTAACGTAACGTATATTTTTAAACATTCCTTGCATATGTTTTGAGAGTTTCAATATGGTGAGACAATAATACCATTACCCTGACATCATTTTCTAAAAAGAGATATGTATATAAATTGTGACGTAAACAAGTAAAAGCGTAAACTTTTCTGTATTAAAGTATATAATGGTATATAGTAACAAGCTACGTAATCGATCTTTTGTTTAGTTTTTTATTATTTGGTTTTCATAGTAAGTACAATACCTTTTAGTTAAATAGTAGATTAGCTTATTATAATAATACCACTGCAAATAACAATATAAATAATTAAGGAAAAATTGCTTATAAATATATTATGAGTTATGTACAATTAGTGTTCAGTCATCTTCTTGTAATAATGAATGATGGGTCTAAAACAAGTTCTTTCGTTGAAATTGATAAATGAGGATTTGCGAAAATAATGATTCATGAATGGCATGGCCGGCGTGAATTCCGGTTTTTGTCGTAATCAACTAGGTTAAAAATAATTTCAGCAATATTCATAAATAAAACAAAAATAATATTTTCAGATGTAACATGTGAAACGTTACGTTTATCGGCTGCTTCCGCCTAGTTTTACGTTAGAACACTAAAAATATACTCACTAAATATAATATATATGCATGTACACATACTAAAGCTTGCTTTTTGCAATCAATATGAGGCGTCAACCGGATCTGTAGGGATACCGCATAACTAACCATACGAACATCGTGTTCCGGCCTCCAAACGTTGGACGGATCAATCAGTATGCGTTTCGGATTAGGCAGGGCAATCCGGATTTTTATTTTATTTTTAGTAGTATGACCACTTTTAAACGTCTGAATTTCTGTAATACCGATGAAAGAAATTTAATTAACCTAGAGAAGAATTTTTCGATTACGCAGATAAAAATTTTAATTCGCCTAGAAAGTGGAGGAATTGTCAATTTTCTAACCAGCCAGACCAATAAGTACCCATCTCTTTTATTGCATTTTGACTGAGAAGCGTAAAGATCTGACGTAGCTTTGTACTTACGAAGTCCTCGACGATCTCTTTGACTGCGCTCACACTCAGGATGAGTATGAGGGGTGTGAGCGTTGTCCATCTACCGGTGGGCGACACATCAGGTATCTGTTGCAGTAGGGCTATCAGCAGGAAGAAGCAGTTGGAGTACCGGCGGAACTGCTCGAACAGGAACAGCGGGATGAAAGATGGGACACTACCAACAGAAACAAAGTGTTAAATTTACAAAAAGAATTTTGCATGAGAGGCTGCGGGTATTATAGTACTTTTTATGAGTTAAGACTAAGGAACCGTTCGCATAAGCTTTCTCATGCATGGCGAAAACAAAAACAGTAATGCGTGTATACTCCAAATTGGCGTAATGGTGACTATTTTTTTCTTCGTTTATTCAAAAACTCCGCAGTGTTTCATAGCAATTAATTCAGTTTTTCGCTTTTGTACTCATAGGAGCAAGAGTGAGGACTTTTGTTGAATCGATTCGCATTTCAGTTATTATGTTTTGTTATGTTACTTGTTTTATTTTATGATGAGTTAGTCCTACTATTTTTGTATCCATAATATAGTTCTAGGTTGCTTGGAAGAAATGGTCAGTACGCAATAACGCCACCTATTCTATTTTTTTAGTATTGCTTTATATCTAACGAGGTATACAGAACACGAAAAAAATATCTATATCTATTATTGGGATACGTTTATAAAATATGAAAATAAACAGTAGTTCGAAATATTCACATATATTTCCAATTACTGTTTTAGAATTCGACAGCTTAGCGTCAATATTATTTATGAAAGAACAACAGCGTGTGTTATTTCAATGTTTACAAACAAAATACGTGAGACATAACAGATTGCTTGATAAGTAGAGGTCGGGCAATATGCCAGATACAGAGAGAAATATAGTCACAGTTAATAATTGGTATAGTTCACAAATGTAGGCTCTCAACAAAAATATCCCTTACAGAGAAAAATACATTGTACCCGTCACTTTCAATCATCATTACTCATCACTTTAAATAAAACTACATATTAAGGTTTTCTACATATATTTTGTCTTCTGGGGAGCGATTTTTTAGAAATCCGAATCCAAATTAGAATTAACTTATGTGTTCAATTCATGTCATTTAGTGTATAAAATTTAATGATTCCATTTTTGCTATAATAATATGATACAAAATTGATTGATTATACGTGTCTTAGATATTCTGTCACAGTGTCATTTCGAAAATCACTTCACTTATGCCACGACACGTTATTACCGATTCAAGGTAGAGCAGAAGCAGCTTTTGAAGTGAATTCGGATTCGGATTTTTACAGAATCGCAGGGCTGTAACCGTAAATTCTTGCAGTAGTACGCAAACTAAAAATGTGTAAATTTAGGCTTCTAGTTTACTTCACAACAAAGTTATGTTAAATATTTTTAAAATTGGGGGGTTAAAAATGGCCCGAATGGCTTCGAGAAAAGGATGATCCCCCAGATTATGTCGCCAGTCGTTATTGACATTTTACCAAATTACCAAAAACGTCCTCTCAGACAGCTGTAGCGCAATGGTGAAACTGTAGCACAATTGTCTAATTTCAAAATTATAGCAATCCCTTCCAAACTTATAGCGATTTATAGAATTATAAAACTTATCAAGTCACAATCGCTATTGCAATAAATGATCAAGAAATTCTATGAAAGATTGCAGTGAGTATTGAACTCTTTAGTTATTCTCAATAACTTTCAATGATATTTGCGTCTAAAATTAACTTCAAATTAACGATATCGTTCATTCAATATCTTAAAATAAAGTCGCGACCGCAGCAGCTGTCTTATGTCAAAGAGTTCCAGAGTGAAGTTCGTGAATATATTTCAATTATGAAATTAAATTCTAATTTCATATATGTAAAATATATTCACGAACGACTGTGATGGATTTTAAAATTAGACATTCAGGTCCCTGGTCCATAGATAAGTCATTGGATTACATAGCATCTGTCATCATTATGAAGCTATCAATGGCACATGACCTTCTCGATGAATGGAATCGAACGCAACGAAAAGGGATAATGGGTCTTGACTCACCTCACCAGTGTAGATCGGTGGCTGATAACGTCTGCACATGCAGCTACGACCAACGGCTTAATGTGCTTTCCGAAACAACGAATAGCTCAAGGTAGTAAATATATCGGCCCTTGTCGCAGACTTCGTCTCTACTAAAGTAAGTCATGACACACCTGTATTTGGCTGTGGAGATGGTGTTTGAGAGGAACTTCTGAGGCTGCGGATGGTTGACGAAGATGACGCGGTTCTGTTGGTCGCCGGGCGCACCGTCTGTAACGCCAGATGTTGTTGCCTCGTCCTCGTCTGTGAAACAAAGATAAATATCTGAAGACTATTATTAACTTCCGGTAGCACGATAATAAATAAACAATATGAATTCTTCACATCCACAGGGTCCCAGAGTTCAAAATACAAAATGAAATTTTCCCCATCCCCTTTTCATACCATAGGTTTGTACTTTATTTGTAAATTGTTTGTATTGTACTAAAACAACACGTTTCTATTCCTTATAACACTAAAATTACTAATAAAAGGCGAAATGCCATTTCACAACAAAATTCTATACCTTCCTAGGACCGTTATTATACATAAGATTAAACCCTACAGCGTACATTTACTCATTAAATTTTAGAAATTGTAATTTAAAAATTAAAGAATCCTTGCAAAAGATGTCATATGAGGAAACAGAGAAGTTTTAATTGTGTTAAAATAATTTTCATATTCCTGTTAAGTAGTGATTATATAACTACGTCATTAACTCTACACGTGTGACACACATGTCGACCTAGTTCAGATAAAAACTAAAAAGTTTACATACGTATGTATATTTACATAAATGTTGATATATGAAAGAAAATTGTAAAGAAACTATTAATGTAAGACGTTTAAATATAAGCTATATTATACGCTAACATTGCCTTATATACACTGTAGTACTAACCAAATTCGGAACAATGTAATCTAAGAATAAATTATTATTATTAACTTGAAAAATACTAATAAACTCCATAGAAACTACAACTTTTTTATTAGATTGGACTTGGACGATTTTTTTTTTACATTGTTTATTGAACAAGGAATGTATGTAGTGGCGTTTTAACATTGATTATTTAATAAAGATACTAAGCCCTATCATTACTGCTAGTGAAGGTCATGTTATTGGATAAATAACAACTTTCTTTTGATGCATTTGACAGGTGGAAAATTAATGAATTTTGGACAGAGTAATAGAGTTATAATAGAGTCATAACTATTATATTTTAACAGACTTCAAAACGAAAAACAGGAAGTATTGGTTTCGACTATATTTTTTTTTTCATTAATAATTATGACAATGCTGAGTTTCAGTATACCACAAAGATGACAGCTGATGAAATTACACGTATTTAAGTGTATAAAATCTTGTTTTTCTTTAACATCACTAAAGATTGGACCATAACGACACCCCTTCTGTTTACAGCCTCTTAAAATGCGTTGTTCTTTTTACCTGATGACCTTTGAGGCTTTAAGGACTAGTTGTTACTTGTTATGTAAGATTTAGCTTGAAGGGCAAAAGTAAATATATTTATTTAAGCCTTTAACAAGTCAATGCAATATTTATTTAAATGATAATTGTATGTACTTATCACCTTTCGAAAGATGGCGGGACGGTTACATTCTATAAGTGGCAAAGGATAATGATAGACAGGTTTGACAAAAATTCAAGATCCGAAGAAAATATAATCAAGAGTAAAATTCCAACTAAAAACCAGATTCTGAGAAATTGATTATATGTTTGTTTTAAAAACTCAATTGATAATTTAATACTGATGAATCAAGTACTAAGTGACCATTTCAGGCGCATCGATGTGTTTATGATACCTACAAAATTCCCTTAAATTCTGTTTAGTTATTTTAAGTAATTGCTTTTTAGTCCGGTGTTGTATATCTTGCGCCCTTGAACTTAATTTCCAATATGAAACCTATAAATAGAATCTGTACAAGGTTCTTTTACTATAGTTGGTTTGATAGTGGATGACATTGTACGATGACACTCACTTTACGTAAAATTAAAAGTATTACAGAAAGGGATAACTATCATGGTATGACTTTATTAGTCTTTTTTACAGAAAATATAGAAGAATGTTTTTATATAAAAAACGTAATATCTGCTTTATTAAAATATAAAATTAAATTTTAATTCTGAATAATTTACCTACGTCCTACCTAATCATTATTTATCTTACATTACATTAAGAATATTTCTATTTTTTATTTTGGACATTTTTGAATTCTTCTTATTTATATGACATTGACAATAATCTGCCTCGCTCACTGTGGACTGGGTGACGGCTGAAAATCGGTGCTTCACCCATTCTTGGGTGATTTACGTGCACCGAGCCTTGACCCTTATCTTACTGCTGCACACAGGTATATCACTTATAGCATTACGTATTCTATTCTCAACTGTTATTTGTATTGTACAAGTCGTGATGTAGTTGTGTGTTGTTGTATGAATAAACTATTTATCTATCTATCTATCTACGTAACGATAGGTATAGGGTGTAAACGTAAGTGTTTAACTGAATTTTTTAATCGATTGTTATTTAAGAAGAGCAAATATGATGATATTTGCTGCCGATTTTTTTCTTGTAATCAATGGCCTGATCTAAATATAAGAAACTTTATTCTTCTTTCTTTTTTAAAATTTAATAACAGATGTACTTAATAGCAATGTTGTATAGGTATGACTTATATTTTAAAGAACTCTACTCATTTTAAATAAAACTACTTAGCAGCACCTTTGTGAGCCCCGTGGTCATTAGAAAACCCTTTCACTTCATTATATACACGTTTTTAAATGTGCTATCGTATGGATAAAATTTGACTTTATCAGAGACTAGTGGCCGCCAGCGACTTCGTCCGCGTTTTACATTATTTCTTCGCTCCTATAATAGTTGCAGCGTGATGTTATATAGCCTAAAGCCTTCCTCGATAAATGGTCTATTCAACACAAAAAGAATTTTTGAATTCGAACCAGTAATTCTTGAGATTAGCGCGTTCAAAAAAACAAACAAACAAACTCTTCATCTTTATAATGTTAGTATTTCAATAATGTCCTAAGTATGAAAAAGTTTTTAAAAACGAGCTTATTTGCGCACACTAAAACGTAAAAAAAAATCTAAACATTTAAATTGACTTGAAAAGCTTGTAGCGCTAATGAAATCGGAGACGAGGAAATACGCCATTTTTTTATGCGCTTCAGGCTTTTCAAGTCAATTATTGTTAGAGAAAATATTGATTATAAGTACTTTAAATGTTTAGGATTTGTTTACTTATGTTTTAGTGCGCTTTTTACTTTTTTAGTTTTGCCTCAATATGTTGTTGTTCTCATAAAGACGGATCTAACGAGCCCAAACGACGCAGTTCCATCTCCCTCATCATCAGTCCTTGATTTGGAAGACATCCAGTACCAAAGTCCTCATATAGACGGTTCTAACGACCCCAAACACGTTGCAGTTGCGTCATTTCTTCAATAAGTTTCAATGACTACCATTAGACTTCATCATCACATCAGCTTACTGACACCATAATATTTTATTGTCATTTGAATTAAATGTCTATGCAAAATTTCAAATCCTTCGGACATTGGGAAGAGGATCAAATTAGAGTTCCTAGATTTGAGCACTAACTAACAAGATAAATTAAACAAAAACCTTGTGAAAATATAGAATGATTCTACCATGTATTTTATAAACTGAAAGTTGTATTTAAATGGAAATAAAATTGTAGTCTCACCGCAATAACAAAATAAATAATAGCATCCAGTAACGTTTATTTTGCAAAACTCACGACTCGAGGCACTAGACCATGACAACGTTATACAAATTCGTACTTTAAATTAATAGCAACACGTACAAATCTTCAGTATCTATTTCTGAAATCTAAATTTACTGCCGTCTTTCATCAGTGTCGGCACTTAAATACAAATCAAGACAAAATTGGTTAGGGAATGGGAAGAGTCACGTTACTAATGTAGAGACAGACCGGAATCACTGAACAATTCGCATACAAAACAATGACGAAACAAATCAGTTGCTATTAATAAATGCTAATGTACAGACGACCTTTCTACTCATTGGAAGGTCAGGTCCTATTGTATTTTGCTTATTGACCCTAGCAAATGCAAGCAATATGTTCATCTTTTTTGTAAAACCCTAAGTTTTTTATCCGCATAAGCCTATGTCAACCTCGTGTAGCTGTCCGTAGGTGATATAATTTTCAAATCGGTACAGTAGTTTCAGACCATAATCAATACAAGGAAACAATAAAAACTTTCCGGTTTCTAATATTAGTATAGATGTGTATTTCTTTATATTATTTATATCAAAACAAGAAAAGAACTCATAGTGTTTGATAATATCTTAGCAAGTTTCACTCAAGGTTGCGCACTACAAGCAGAACAAACCGAATAATGCGCTATCACCCGTGAAGATTGCAGTAACTCCTATTTCAGCGATGACCTAGAACTTCAGGCTAAGATGCAAGTTGATTTACAGATGGAAGGTGTACTCTCAGTTCGAGGATGAGGCCTGGGACTCGAAACGGACTATCCAAAGCACATTTTAATCAATTCGTTACTATGAGATTCAGATAAATTTGATGCTATGGTTTCCACTTAAGCTTCTTGATAAGTCCTTATATCATAACTCTTTCTGTGCATATTCATCATTTACATAGCATGATTTCTAAACGGAAAGAGGTAGGTATATTCCGATCCACATTCGTCCCTTTTTAACGAGTTTAAAGTTACATGCGTAAAGGAGGATATCTATTAATATCTATACAGTGTTTGGCAATATTTCCAAAATGTCCCTAATGTTGTCTAGAGATAGGTAAATAAGAATAAAGCAACACGCACATTTGGAAATCGAGTTATCTGAGTTGAGAGGCAGCAGCAGGTTCTAATTCTGAAGAGGTGAATATGTGTAAGAAGTGAACACTAGCAACGAGAAGTTATATAAAATCATAAATATTGCGAAGATGCTGTTTAATACTATTCATAGCATAACTACTGTAATAACTGTAAATCGAGTATTGTATTGTTATTACAGTCGAAGTTGAAAATGTTTTTTTACAGTTAATTAAATATTTTTGGTTTGAACAGTGTTAAATATGTCGTAATCTATAGATATTTTTAATATTAGAATAAGTCATGTTTTCTAACTATGCGTAGTTTAACTTTAAAAATACTGATCCTATTATGATGTATGTCTATAATTTGCACGGGTGAATTTGCGGAAAAACAGATAGTTTATAATAAA